TCCATATGGCCTCTTTTACACCATCCAAGGTACCGGATGTGTTTTGCACTAGTACTTGTACTTTGTTTATTTAAAGATTTCCCCTCTCCACATCCATCCCCTACAGAAAATGGATGCCTTCACCACCAGCAGTTCCATGCTTTCAATATCTCAGATTGATCTTCCTCAACTTGGCAAATAAATACCCAGAAAAAAAGAGTAACCTCCCAAGGGAAGGGGCAGACCTGCTATCACTGGAGGTATTAAATAGACTTAAAGGAACTGATTGTGATTCTGTAGAATTTTATGCATAAAAACTGCTGTGATGCAAAGGGAATGGACCTGGTGACCCAAGACCTTTTTCCTGATTCCAGTATCTATGAAGTTTTCATCAATCAAGCCAAGTGGTGTGGCACCAGCAGTAAACACTGTGGAGGCAGAAGCTTTTAAGACGTCAGAGTGACAGCATTAGGATCAGTAGCACGAGCAGGCTATGCTCAGCCACTTCTAATATCCATTGTGTTACTGCAGCACTACATGCTGACAGAAGATAGAGTACCTCTGTTATTGAAGACATACACAGAGTTCAACGTACTGAGGCTCAGGGCAAGTCTACATGATGGTGCTACATCGGCACAGCTGCGCCACTATAGCGCGTCTGGTGAAGGCGCTCTATGCCGATGGGAGAGTGCTCTCCCCTCAGCATAATGACTCCACCTCCACGAGAAGCAGAAGCTATGTCAGCGGGAGAGCATCTCCACCTGACATAGCGCCTATGTGGTTAGCGCTTAAGTCGATGTAACTTGAATCGCTTGGGGGGGGGAGGGGTGCCTTTTTCACACCCTTGAAGGATGCAAGTTACATGGACTTATGCAGTAGTGTAGATCAGCTCTCAGGCTCGCTCTTCCAGAAGCAGAGCAATCTCTTAAGCAGTTGCTCAGACTGCCAATGCAGGTGGACATTTTAATTTCTAACCATGTTTTAAAGTGATTTGGGACTAGTGAAAGGCGATGAACTGAAGGCCCTAAATAACACTCCTCTCTCCAGATCAGAGGCATGACACAAGCAACTGCAATGCAAGCTTTTCCATAATGACTCAGCCAGGGCCGGCTCCAGGCACCAACCGACCAAGCACGTGCTTGGGGCGGCACCTTATAAGGGGCGGCCAATGTTGGGGTGGCAGGGGGCACTCGCGGTGTTTTTGTTTTTGTTCGCGGGGCGGCGCTCGAGGGTTTTTTTTTTGTTTCGGTGGCGCGGCGCTGAGAGGGGCGGGGGCTTAGTGTAAACTGTAAATCTGGAGCAATTCAGAGGATTTCAGTGGGCTTGTTATGGATTTACATCAGTGTAACAGAGAGCAGAATCTGGCTCTTGGTTAGTATCAACCCAGGCCAAATCTGAAAGGCCCTGAATTTTGTGGAGCAGATAAGGGGTAAACTAGCATAGCTAGAGTCACCTGATTAGAGCTATACTGACTCACGCAGGCTACAGATCTGCACCTCCCCCCCTCGTTTTATTTTTTAATAAAGGATGTAAAATCTGCATATGTGCGCTCACAAGACAGAGAGAGAGAGAGAGAGAGAGAGAGAGAGAGAGAGAGAGAGACACACAGTGCTGTATAAAAGTTCCACAGAAAATTCTCCACCAACACCACACACATAAACCCTAGATACTTGCACATAAGACAGTTCTTCGAGAACAGAGCCTTTGGGTTTGGATTCATTAATGCAGCCCAATAGACTGTATGTAGGTTGACACAGCTGAATGCCCATATATTTCAGAAGAAAAGTTGGACATACATAAAAATGTATTTCACAAATCATTAATCCAGTGGAACCCATTCATTGCTTCTTATCCTCAGAATACATATAGAGAAGGATTTGAGAAATATTATCAGTCAGGACTATACCTACTCACTACTTGACGACCTATTCAATTTTAACGTGCTGTTCCTGCTACAATTTACAGACAAAATTGTCCTTCCCTTCTGGAATAGATTTGTCCCCAAAATATCCTAGTATTAACACAAAGTACTTGGAGCAGTTTTTCTGCCACAAATTCCATTCTACAGCATTAGTTTTTTTTTCCCAAGGCATTTTGAGCTCCGAACAAACAGAAACAAATTTGAAGCACATGATACGGAGCAGTGCACAACAGACAGGTTGCACTCCCAGACTTTTATTGACATTCAAACCTGTAATGTTTAACTCCCACTATTGTTCTAAAGGATGAATTGGCAACCTCCTCTACACACACACACACACACGCACACATTCGGTGTTACATCACATACTTTATTTCTAATAGTAAACCTTGCAGAAAGGAATTTTATTTTTACACTTTCTCACCACCCACTCCTAATTAATGTCAATCAGTGTCTTCCACATAGTACATACTGCAAGTATGTGGCCATAGCTACACTGCGGATTTTGGCAAAAATTTCCCACTGTTGCTAAAAACTGATGCAGCTCCATGTATTGCGATAGAAATTCAACTAGGAACCGCATGGAGATTGAAAACTCATTTCATCTAGGCCACTGAACAGTAACAAAAAGGTTATAACTTTTGGATCCAGAATGTAATCTTATATATACTGGTATAAACCTTGAGTAATTCCATGGACTTTAATAGATTTGCTGCAGAAATACAAAGGTGTAAGAGAGATCTGTCCCTAGGTTTCTATGCCCTGATAGCTAATGACTAATAGTAGCAAAAGTAAAAGTACTAGTGATGGTCCTGCAGCCCCTGCCATTTTTAAATGTGATGGTTGAAATACAGGCTTTGTTAAAGTCAATGGAGCCAGGATTTCACCCCATGTTGTTTAGACCTGCTCTGAGCAGAGTTAGACAACACAGCATTAAAATCACTAGCAACCATTGGAGGCTGGTCAACACTAGCACTCCCACTGTTTACCATCACCAGAGGAGTTGCCACGTTGGCAGCAATATTGGAAAATTTTCCCCGCATCCCCTCCAAAAAACCCAGTGTAGACGTAGCTTATATCTACAGTACAAGCAAACACAATCATTAACTTCTTCTAATACTATTTTTCCTTTCTCATGTAAAAGTAAATCCAGCTCCAATCATTTCCCTTCCTTAACTTTTGCACAAGGGGAAGACAGAAAGCTAAAAAAAGAAAATTAGACACTTAATGAAGTCTATGATTAAGGCAAAGAAACTAGCAAGACAGATGGGCTGATGCATTAAGGGAGCTCGAGTTCACCATCCCATATTTTCCATTGTCTTCCCCTTTTAGATTTTTTAGATTCTATATTGTAGTCCAACAATTTTAACACCATTACCCAATTTACAGTCGTCCTCCTGACTCTTAAATTAAAAAAAAATATCACTCAGACAAGACACAGTCATAACATCTATCTATTTTCCTCCCCACTCCCCACATACTTTTGTCTGTTATCAAGTCTGTGTACAGATTTGTTGGAACAAGGTCCTTAGCTCAGATCTGGCTGAGTATGCACATTCTACAACCATTTCTCACCAGAGTGGACACGAAACCACAACCGTACAGCTACACAAGTTCTCCCAACTCCATCCCACAACACCACACTTCACATTTCACAGCGAGTGTTTCCTATCAGGTTCCCCCAGCTTTCTGTTCCTCCTTGCTACAGGCATTCCACTGAGTAACAGGAAATCCTTTACTAGTATATAATGTACAGGACTTGCTGTAGGTAACTACAGCACTTGTGAACACCAGCATTCACTTCCCACTCCAGGGAAAGCATTCAGTCAAGCTATGAGCTGGCCAAAGGCCAACATGAGGGTCTTACTTGGGATTTGGAGCAATGAGACTGTTAGGGCACACCTGGCCTCTAAGGTCCACAATCAATAGGCCTATATAAAGTGTCAGGACGTTGAGCACAATGCAAAGCAGTGGTAGCACAACATCCTTACCTCCTTTGTAAAGTGTTTTGAGATCTACTGATGAAAAGCACCAGAGAAGAGCTAGGTATTAATTAATTATTATTATTATTAAGGTGCTGGGACAATAACCCGACCTCCCAGGCTGCCCTTCCATGAAGAGCTAGATTCTGTCCTGACAAACAAGCCATCTGGTTAGCTGATGCAGCTTGCCAGGATCTTGGTGATGATGAGCACACAAAAGACCAGATGGAGAAGGCGCAGCAGGCAAGGAGGCTAATGGGAAAGGCCCCAAGGAGATAAAGGGCCTTCCTCACAAAGTATTAAAGTATACTGCATTTTACTGTGCTGCACTCTGTTTCATTGTGTGTGGTTGGAGGAGCTCAAAGTCTGGGAACCAACACTGCTGGCATTGCCATTGCTTTTATTGTAAAGGCAAAAACCTTAGATTAGATAGCTAAATTCTTGATATATACACCTTCAGAAAAATGTTAATCTCTATGGGGAAGGAAGAAACAGTAGGTATTTATCTATATCTCTGAGAAAAAGGGGGAAATGTCCTCAATAGCAGGGGAAATCTGGTGCCCCAACCATCATGTAATCTCCTTGCTCAGAACAGTTACTAATGGCTGGTCCTCCCCCTGGCTTCCCCTATGACATCTGGAATTAAGCTCTCCTTTCTGCAGGGTGCACAAAGCAACCCTCACCTAGAAAATAAAGTGAATCTGCACTTAGCAGAAATTCACTATCGGTAACAAATGCTGAATGCTCAGTCAGGGATTTGGCTGTCTAATCTGCCTAATATGCACTTTACAAAAAAAAAAAATCTCAAAAGGTCTTATTCTAAAGGGTCTGTTTATAGTTATAACGTAATGGTGGTGAAGGTACTGCAACATGATTTCCACATCATTGTAAAATCTGGAGTGTGTAATACAATTTCACTCTACTTGTAATAAAAACCCATGGAAATGCATTAATTCAGGACTTAATTCCTTTTCACAATTAGGTGAAGTTGAGTAGACTCACTATGATTAAGTTGCATTATATCAGAGTTCACCATAAAAGAGAATTTCCTTCCCTCCACCCCACTCCAGTTCCAAGTCAGGTAGGAGGCATCTGCCAGGGATGAAGAATTTTCCTACCATTCAGTCACTGCCTCCCTTCCTTCCGTTCTTTTATCCACAGCTCCAGTTGAGATCTTCCAAAAATGTAATCTGAAAGTACAAGGAGAAACAAAATGAATCAAACTAAACTTTTGAATAATTTAAAATTTAAACAATAAATTAATCAAAAATAGAAACTGAATGGCCAGTATCTGCATCAATGGCATTAGCACCAAACTTCCTGTCCCTGTACCAGAAAATGAACACTGTCCAGATTCTGTAGCAGATAGCTGAGGTGTCCTCCGTTCCAAAGACCAGGAGTGAAATCCTGGCCCCACCGAAGTCAATAGGAGTTTTGCCATTCATTTCAGTGGGGTCTGGATTTCTCTCTAGAAGAGTAGCCAGAACTCTGTGTACTGACCTAGATTTGTCCAAGGAGCTGTTCACAAGCCAGACTGATACCAATGCTAGGTTGTGATCATGACATGGTGTTGCCTTGTGACAATATGGCTTGTTGCAGGGACAGATCAACTGGAGGACTACTATCAGCTGACATGCATGCTAACCACAACTGCTTGGCCACTGCGTTACTATCAAAATGATTTTGCTCTATCCTTTGTGACTTTCTTTATAACCCTCCAAATTAGAGGTACGAAGAATTGTGCAGGTTGGACGAAAGAGCCACTTCATCATGAAGGCAGCTTGGGCTTCTTCCTCCATGCCCCTGTATCTGTTGCAGAGGCCTTTAACACTTTGGTTTTCTGTTGCAGGGAACAGGTGTATGTGCAGATTTCTTAGGCCTAGTCTACACTGGGGGGGGGGCGGTGGGGCGGGAGGAATCGATCTAAGTTACACAACTTCAGCTAGCTGAAGTTAACGTACTTAAATCGACTTACCGTGGTGTCTTCACTGCAGTGAGTCGACTGCTATCGCTCCCCCGTCGACTCTGCTTGCACCTCTCACGGTGCTGGAGTACAGGGGTCGATGGGAGAGCGCTCAGGGGTCAGTTTATCGCATCCAGAGTAGACGCGATAAATCGATCCCCGCTGGATAAATCGCTGCCCGCCAATCCGGCAGGTAGTGAAGATATACCCTCAGAGTTTCTACTACTGTTTGAGATATGGATCTGCTTGAAGTCCTCTGTCGGCTATAAGTTTGCTTCCTGCTTATACAATGTATTAGTACACATTGTTTTCTCAGAGTGTGAACTGAAGATGGCATTTTGTGTGCTTGAAAAGGAGGGGGGTTTCCTTGAGAAGAGATGTGCAACTTGATCCCACTTGATGATTTATGTAAGCAATGATAATGTTAGAGGAAGGATCTTGGTAAACCTTTCCTAACTTGACCAGAGCTAGGAGGACAGCTCTGAGCTCTGGTAGATTCCAAAGAGGAAAGATATCCCTGAAGAGGACCATTTGCCTTAGACCAGAGGAGGCTCTGTATGAGCGCCCCTACCAGTAGACTTGAATCCATCATCCCATAGAATCTTTTGGGGGTCTTGCAGGGGCATTCCCTTTATTTTGTTATTTGCAACTGTTCACTGTACAAAGAAAATCTTGACCTACTTGAGTATCATCACTTGATATCCAAGATTCTGATCTGTAGGTCTTCCATAAGAAGAATCTATTTCAACTGCCTTAGATGAAGTTGAGCCAATGGAACTAGATACTGGCAGAAAGCCATTCCTCTCAACAGATTCAGTAGAGACTGAAATGGTGGGTAGTCCTGAGATGACAACACAATAATCAGAGACTTTAGCCTCAGGAAACAATCCTCCAGTAGAAATATGGAGCTCCTTTCTGTGTCTATCAGGAACCCTAAGTGAAATGTTTCTGAAGAGTACTGCAGCATTCTTCTGCTGATCAACCCGACACAAACAAACGTTCATAAAAATCATAGAAGATTAGGGTTGGAAGAGACCTCAGGAGGTCATCTAGGCCAATCCGCTGCTCAAAGCAGGACCAACACCAACTAAATCATCCCAGCCAGGGCTTTGTCAAGCCGGGCTTTAAAAACCATTCCGGATGGAGATTCCACCACCTCCCTAGGTAACCCATTCCAGTGCTTCACCTCCCTCCTAGTGAAATAGTTTTTCCTTAAATCCAACCTAGACCTCCCCCACTGCAACTTGAGACCATTGCTCCTTGTTCTGTCATCTGCCACCACTGAGAACAGCCGAGCTTCATCCTCTTTGGAACCCCCCTTCAGGTAGTTGAAGGCTGTTATCAGATCCCCCCTCACTCTTCTCTTCTGCAGACTAAACAATCCCAGTTCCCTCAGCCTCTCCTCATAAGTCATGTGCCCCAGCCCCCTAATCATTTTTGTTGTCCGCCACTAGACTCTCTCCAATTTGTCCACATCCTTTTTGTAGTGAGAGGCCCAAAACTGGAAGGTTAGTTCGTTTGTTCTAACCATGGCTCTTTCTGCTTGAGTCTCCAAGATGACTTTGACTAGATTAGCCATTTGACTAGACAGGAGAAAGAGAGAGAAGGGCAACATCCACTACCTACCATGATTTTTATGCAAGTCCTGATGGCCATAGAAAAAGTGAAAGAGAGCTTCAAAAAACCAGCAGATGCCTCAACCACTGCCAGCTTCTCCTTAGTTTTACAAAGAGAAGATATGGCTGAAGCTTGGTAGTTTACTTTCTGAGCACAGTCAATGCTAAGGGGGCTGGCAGATGAAGAGCTCAGGCAGCCTCCATACTGAACATTATGCCACTATCAGTTCCACCTCTAATTCAAGGGGTGGGGGATGGGGAAGAACCACGATACAAAGTAAAAGAGGGATCAGGTAAAAATGCCCACTGGATTGATTTGTTTATTCCAAGGCATCAAACAGAATGGGAACAGTAGAAAGAGAAGAAAGAGGAAAGGAGTCAGTGGCCAGCCTTAGACCTTAGTTCCTCCTTTGCCGTTGATACATCGGGCAATCCAGTTCCTCCACTGATTATGGTGGCTCGCTGGTCATGGTACTTCTTCTCAGCTGAAGACAGTGCATTCAATATCCTCTGTCCTGGTCTTCTGCCAATTCTTCCTTGGCCTTCCTCACTTTCTTTTTCCTCCCTTGGGTACCCAATTCAATCCTTGCTTTGTATGTCTCCCATCTTCCAGACAGTATACATGTCCCTACCACCTAAATCTTCTTTCATTGTATTTTCTAACACGTCCTGCTCTGCCAGCTCCCTTGCAGTGGCATTTATTATTTTGTCTTTGCATGAAATGTTTAGTATCTTCTTCAGTCATCTGTGATGGGCTGCTCCAATCTCTTTTTGTTATCTACTGTCATTGCCCAAGTCTCTGTTCCACACAGTAGCATGTTTAGTACAATCGCATGGTATAATCTGATCTATAGCATGCTGTGGAGACCTCTGTTTGACTAGATGTTGTTCATCCTTCCAAAAGCAGTGTTTGCTTTTCCTAATCTCCTATCAATATCTTTATCATGGCCACCTTCAAATGTCATCATAATCCCCAGATAGAAGAACTCAAAGTTCTGTTTTTCCCCTGATGTAAGGGCAGCCGTTCGGTTCCCCATCATACTTAGGAAAAGTATGGTGTTCTTTACTAAGTATGCAGTTGCTGGAGGGTGAGAAAATTCTCTGTCCCTGGTAGATGGTTGCTACCTAAGCAAGGACAATCCTTATGGTGTGCGCAGATGGCCAACAGTCCTGAAAAGTGGGTACTACAGTTTTTTTTTAAATTGGTGTAGCTGGTAGCACCACCTAAAGTTAAGGTTAACCAATAGTTCCTAATATAAAGATCCTATTTACAGGTGCTTATAATTTTGCCAAAATTTAGCCATTTGTGCTGAAATTTTCCATGCCAGGTGCCTGCCTCAGGCTGAACTTTTCAGTAATAAAGGGTCAGACATTTCTGAGAAAATGGCTAAGGAAACGCACACTGTTTTGTCCACATTAAAAACAATTCTTATTGTTTCATTGAGAAACTCCAGCACCTCTGGAAATTTGGCAGGGGGGAGGCCTTTGTATCAGGGATGTACCTTTTGCTCTGCCTATGCAATCTCATCCTAAATTTGGCCAAATTATGAGCCTTTGAAAAAATCTCAGTTCGCATTTGCTCACTAGACACTTGTTAATTTGACAGCTAACTTCTCCTAAAATTCCATCTGCACTGAGTTTAGGCTTCAATCCTGCAAGCTGCTCCATGCAGGCCAATCCCAGCATATATAAAGTCAGCTGGGTTCTGTGCAGGTGTCCATCCACATGGAGCTCACTGCAGCATCGGACCGAAGTTTGTAAAATACTTATGGGTCCTTTAGGATGAAAGAAGCTACAGTAAAGAAATGGAAGATATAATTATCCCAACATTCTGTCATTAGCGCTATCTGAATAGGAACAGAATTAACTAGACGATGCAGGAACGGCTGTGATATTTTTAAAAAAAGAAAAATCCACAGCTGCAGCAAAGTACAATGCACAGTTAAATATTCCCCATCACAGAGCCTTCCTGGAGGAATATATTCTGATAAACCAGCATGCCTGCATCTTAGAACATCAGCAAGTTGCAAAAGATCTACGGCTTGGTCTCTGAAGTATTCTCGTCCTTTAGAATCTGCACTTTTGGAGAGTGATACTGTAATGACAAATATATCCACCAAGAGGCACCTTTATTTTAATCCTGCACGCCATTTCCTCCTCATCAGAATCAGTCACTAACCAATTTCTCTTTTCATTTTCTGGGAACTCTATTTTTTCTTTCCGTATGTAAACAAAAAACAAAAAATAAGGCCAGAATGTAAAAAGCTCTGCCAGACCTCAATTAATAAACAACAACGATTGAGTGGTTTTGACCCTTTCCTTCGGTCTCATTCTCAAAAACTGACAGAAAAACAAGGGATGGCCTGGTAACACAAAACCACCTTGCTATCATATTACTTCCTCACTGGAAATGAAGTAACAAAAATTTAAAAATGTAAATGTATGGGACTGTTAAAATCAGATACAGCGATATCCACTGAAAAATGTGGATACATATCACAGGAGTCTGCACAGCTGGACCTGCAGCGCAACTATCCAGTTCTCTAGAGGTCATACAAAATACTGCAAACTTGAGCAAAACCCACACAATCTATCTCACACATTGCACTAC